AATCTTTGAGACAACGTGGAGACAAACATTTACACATTGATTAGATTTTTACTTACAGAGCAGCCACGGCAAAGATGATTCCTCCATTTTAAATCTTGGTCATCTGAGATAAGCACATTAACATTTACCAGTCACACCAACTAAAACCTCCTTCTTCTGTCTGTAGCATTGTTGTGGTTTTCTCTTACGCAGTTAGCAGGAAATGGGCTTTATGATCAGTCTCAGTGACCTATATGGCTTTGGATTGTGAGAGAAAACCAACACAGACACAAGGGCTGACACAAAAAACAAGGCTGACACACAGTCTCTTAACTAGTTTGCAGAAAGTGTTACATTACATTTATTCATTGAGCTGACACTTTGATCCAAAGCGACGATAGACAATTTCTGTTTACGTTGCACGCTTCTGGAGCAACTAGGGGTCTTCCTCAGGGACACATTGGTGGACGTGTCACAGTGGTCTCTCACACCACAGACATGCATCTTATCCTCTGCGCCATCTCCACCCTGCAAGTGTTCGTGTTGTAACAATGATAATGACCTCAGATCAGACCAGGATGAGCCCTCGGGTGTCTGTTATTGTTTTGAACTTTGAGATATGCTCAGTGTTTATTGCCACCTGTTCTGTTTCCTGTTTCTTGTAAACAGGTCTGTAACATAACTTCATTGTGATTGGTGGCTTATGTCTCTGCTTGGTGGGGGTTTGGTGGCTGCGGTTCCAGCTGGTGGCAGATCATTAGCTGCTCCAGTAGAAGCGGAGACGGTGGAGGCGGCTGGCGCGTGGGGGCATAATGGCGTCTTCCTCCTCTACAGGCCACAGTTTGATCTTGTTCAAGTAAGGGCCACCAGTTCTGTTCCTCTTCTTTTTCTCCTGTTTATAAGTTAGGAAGGTCAGTTGTTTGTGGTTGGTTTTCATTTGTTTGTTTCATAGGTTAGCGCTGATTTCGAGTTAGAGGTGTTTTGTTTGTTTTGTTGGCCTTGGCTCAACCTGAAGTGCAATTTAGTTTTTCACTATTTGTTTCACTCTGTTATAAATAAATCCACTCTTCAACCATGTCATGTCTGGGCCTCTAGACCGGGCGTAACACTCACAAAATATAATGTAGCCTCAGTGTCAACCGAAAAATGATGTGATAGCAGCAGCTCCATCAGTCAGTAATAATTGGTTAGTTCAAAATAAAATCATCTACCTGCAGAAATAATAAGTCTGTTGAAATTAAGGGTAACAATTAAATTAATGGAAAAAAAAAAATCTGGTCAACAACCAGGACAGTAGGAAAATATTGTTTTCTTTTTCCAGTGTTCTTGTTTGATCCTGGCACACTTGCCGTAGTTGATTATGTCATACCTCATACCCAGTGCTAAAGGACACGCCTACTACATCATATGACAAAAAGTTCACAGTTTGGTTAGGTTTTCGGGAAGGTTATAGTTTGGGATAAAAATAAGTGTTTATCCAGGAAGTTATCTCAGGGGGCGTGTCCTGTAGTCTGCCAGACTGCAGATGGACCCTTCTCATATCATTTGCCATTCCTCAATGTATGTTGTGCACATTTAATATTAGACCAACAAATATTATGAGTATTGTGTGTGACCCCATTTATTATAGATACCAAAATTGTACTTTTGAGTGCTTCATGTTTGTAATACATAGATAATATATTAGAGTACATAGTAAATATCCTAGCACATTATAATATTGGGTGTTTCTGGTTAACTTGGCGAGTCTTTGATAATTATATACATGGCTTTACAACATTTTAGCTCACCAGCCAGAACTGGATTTGGCTGTTCAATTTGAAGATTTGTTCCTTTGTTGTACCTGTAAGACTCATATTTAAAGCCTTTCTTCGTCATCTGTGATGTGAAAACATGTGGAATCAGTTTCCAGTTTGTGTTCAGGAGGCAGACACCATCTTTTTACCCATCAAATTTTGTAAATATTTGAATATATCTTCTCGGCCATCAGTGCGTAAAATAACAACACTTAAATATTATACCTATCATAAAGGGTGAAATTTGCGTCTCTCCTTGAGCAATAGTCTTTGGTGGCATTTTTCACGCTATTAAAACTCAAACTTTGCTGCAATATCGCAGACATCACGGACAAGTAGTGGACTGCTGTGTGTGTGTTTGTGCGTGTGGGCATGAGATGAGGCTCCACACTGCTGCCACACTGGTCGGTGTTTTTTTTTGTCTAATAGAGAGGAATGGATCAAAGCAAAATTAGATGTGTTGAGGAATTTTCTACTGTATCAGGCTTAAGAATGAACTTGAACAAATCTGTTTATTAGGCTACCACTTAAGGAATGTGAACTATCAGAAGTTATTGGTATCCCTGTGAAGAACCCAGTTACATACCTGGGTTTGATAAGAATGACAAACTCTGCAATAACCTAAACTTCAGCCCTATGATTAAACAAATAATGAGAAAAGGTTCAACATGTGGTGGATGAGGCATCTTTCACTGAATGGTAGAGTTCTACTATCTAATACTGAGGGAATATCCAGATCTATGTATCCTTATCACTGGAAATGCCTACTGAAATATACAAAGAATAAGATCTTATTTAATTTCATTTGGAGGAACAAATGTCATTATTTAGGGAAAGATACCCTATGCAACATAAAATATTCTGGAAGTTTTAAGTTTTGAAACCTTAAACAAGACTTTCCAAATTTAAATGGCTAACTAAGTTGATAAAATGGCCTGGAAATGAATAGATAGTATTTTATGCGCATGGTTGCCGTTATTCAATTCAAAAACACCAGTGTCAAGTATGAAGAAGCCATCGCAAACCAGACTTAATCTTTTAATTTGGCGAGAGAGGGCATGAGACGAGGCTCCACAGTCTTGAGTTGCTGCCACACAGACCACTGCTGCCACACTGGTCGTTGTGGTCGCTGCCACACGGACCACTGGTTGTAGTTGGTTGTATCTAATGTAATACATCTTTATCATAATTCTTTGTTAAATATACTATGTTATCGATTATGCCTACTCTTATTGTTATATATCTCTCTCTCTCTCTATCTCTCTCTCTATATCTATATATATCTATATATATAGATATCTATCTATCTAGATCATAATACTTTTTAAAATATAGCATACTAATTTTTGATTAACTATATTCTTATTGTTAAAATCAGTCTAGCTTGGATTCAACCAACAAGTGGTCACCACACTTTCCTTCACAGGTGACAACACTGGCCTTCTTCTTGTAGGCAAGAACCAAAGATAGAGATTTATTACTGCAGGTTAACCACACAAACTGCAATATATAGTGCAACAATAAGAATATAGGCATAATCGATAATGTTGTAGGCTATATTTATCAAAGTATTGTGATCTAGATAGATGTATTAGCCTACTGTAGATTGGCTACAACCACACAAACTGCAATATACTGTACGCCTACAGTGCATCAATAAGATATAAAAGTATTGTGATATAGTAAGATGTACACACACACACACACTTTCATTTACAGGTGATATCACAGGCCTTGTTATAAGGCAAGGACTAAAGATAGATAGATGTGGGCTATTACTGTAGGTACAACCACACAAACTGCAATATATAGTGCAACAATAAGAATAGGCATAATCCATAATATTTTAACAAAGAATTAAGATGTATTACAGTAGATATAACCAACTGCAAACAGTGGTCAGTGTGGCAGCAACCACTATCTTTAGCGCCCCAAGTTGCAGCAACCACACCGACCAGTGTGGCAGCAGTGTGGAGCCTCATCTCACGCCCACACGCACAAACACACACAGCAGTCCACTACTTGCCCGTGATGTCTGCGATATTGCAACAAAGTTTGAGTTTCAATAGCGTGAAAAATGCCACCAAAGACTATTGCTCAAGGAGAGACGCAATTTCACCTATATATTTCACATGTAAAATTTAAGTGTTATTATTTTACGCACTGATGGCCGCCGGCACACAATAGCAAGCATATTATCACATGTAGCGCTGTACTAATTGGAGGATGCATCAAAAAGCCAATAATGCTAAAGAAATAAGCAGCAGTCAATACAGAGTCTAATTCTAGTTTCATGTTTGCTGGTCGCGGCCTTAACCTGCTTGTTCAAAACTGTGAGCACGATAGCGGCTGATGGTGGAGAAGTGCAGCCATCCTGTCAGTCATAAAGTGCGCAGCGTAAGGTAGTTTATTAGGAAAGTATGCTCATTTAAGTGTTTATCTTATTAATGTAAGTAATAAACAGATTTGTTCAAGTTCATTCTTAAGCCTGATACAGTAGAAAATTGCTTTGATCCTCTATTAGACACAAAAATTGTATCATCTGCCAGTTGAGATAATTTAAATGATCTAAGGTCACTTTAGGTCTACTTTGGAACCACAGACTGTATAAAAACTCGAAACTGACCTTTTTTAATACAGCCACATTTTGTGTGACAAGGAACAGAAAGCAGCCTTCCCTTAGAGACTGTGGTAGCGACCAGTGATCGGTGTGGCAGCCTGGCAGCAAGGCAGCAACCAGTGGTTCGTGGGGCAGCGACCAGTGGTCTGTGTGGCAGAGACCAGTATCTTTAGCGCCCCCAGTGGCAGCGACCAGTGGTCAGCGTGGTAGCACAGAATTGGCTACAACCCCCTCTCGATAAGACAATAACGAAAAGACAGGACACAGACACAGGATACCTAGTGCCTGGGAGGGGTTGTCACACTCCCTGACTGCTGTCCCCACTCTCTCATTTAGGGTTGCTGTTTCTCAACATCAGGCAGCCAGAAGGAGGACTGAGAGCTTGGAGGAGCTCAGCAGGTGGAACACAGCGTACTGGAGGACACACTGAGCAGCTTTGGCCCTGGAGCCACACTGAACATTTTCAACTGTCCATTTTATAAACTTAAAGTGCCATTAAATGTAATAACCCTATTTTAACTTGTTTGTTTTTGTGTATTTTAACTTTGTTAAATTAAAGATAGTGATGGGTCATATTATTAGAGGTTGTCAAAAGTCAACCTCTGTTCCGAACCTGGCATGTGTGTGCTTTTCTCTTCTGTAGCACTTTACTTTTTTGTATAAAACTTTTCTGCTTTTCTCTATAACTCACTGTTGATCTAAAAATCACCACAGATGTTTGAGACCTAATCTTTGAGACAATGTGGAGACAAACATTCACACATTAAGTAGATTCTTACTTACCAAGCAGCCGCGGTAAAGATGATTTCTCCATTTTAACTCTTGGTCATCTGAGATCAACACATTAACGTTCACCAGTCACACCAAGTAAAACCCTCCTCCTTCCTCTTTGTGTGTCACTCGTTCTCTTGTGGTTTTCTCTCACAAAGTTAACAGGAAATATACTTATACATGTTTCTCAGTGGAAAACTGACCAGGTTGTGCAGAGCCACAGTGGAGACACTTACTGAGAGACAAATCACATCTTTTGCCAGTTTAGTCTTTTATAGACAGCATGTATTAACTTGGTATTTGTATATAATTTACCAAACAAATATACATATGTATACAAACATAAGATCATGTGGCAATAAATAAAGGACATCATCATTCAACCTCACCCCTGTTTTCTGGCATGGCTGCAGAACATTGACTTTGAAGCCAAAAGATTCACAAGAACTGCAGGCCTGTAAAATTACTGACAATACTCACAAATGAAAGCAAACATTGCAGAAACTTGGAAAGGAAATGGTATTCCACCAATTTCAAAGAATCTCGATGAATCTGGCAAGAAAACATGTAGGAAGGCCCTCAGTGATGCCAGAGCAGCGTATTACTCCACATTAATAGCAGAAAATAAGAACAACCCCAAGTTCCTTTTCAGCACTGTAGCCAGACTAACAGAAAGTCACAGCTCTGTTGAACCATGTATTCCTAAAGCCATCATTAGTAACGACTTCATGAGCTTCTTTAATCATAAAATTTAAATTACTAGAGACAAAATTCAGCAAGACCTGCCCTCAACTAGCAACAACTTATCTCCAAAATCAGGAACCTCAGAAACAGCTGTAAAACCAGATATATGTTTAGACTGCTTTGTTTCCCTCCACCTTTACCAGCTAACTTCAAAAATGTCTAAAGCATCAACCTGTCTTTTAAGTCCCCATCCCAACTAGACTGCTTAAAGAAGTTTTACCCTTAGTCAGCACTTCTTTATTAGATATGATCAAACTGTTTTTATTAGCAGGCTATGTGCCACAGAGAGTGACTGAGTCCAAACAAATCCATAAAGAAACAAAATCAAAACAGCCAATCAAAATCAAAAGAAGGCAAAAGTGCAACAAAGATCCACAAACAAAACAAGCAAGATTAAAAACTGGAACACATTTGAAAGAGCACAACAAGCTACAAGGATCCGACAAAAGGGAACAAGCAAACCTACCATTATATAGAGGGGGCAGGGTAACTGTAACACAGGTGAGACACATGGGACTAATAAGACTGAACAGGAAACAAAGCTAGACAAAGACACCAGACACAGACAACTCCAAAACAAACCAGGAAGTAAAACTCACAAAGACGCACAAGGGCGACTTAAATAAAACAGAGCACAGAAACAAACGAACAACTGACAAAAAACCAAGAACACAGGAGGCGGGGAGTGATAAACACAGGAGGAAATGGCAGAAACACAACAAAGATGAACAAATAAAAAGCCAAATGTCGCGGTGACAGCCTGGCTGTTGGTGAGTGTCCTGTTTCTCCTTTCCCTCGCATTCTGGTTTCTCCTGTGCCTTCTCTTTCCCTCTCTAGCCCGGCTGGCTACCCACACCTGCACCTCGTTAACCTCCATCGCCGCACCTGCCAGCCATCAGCCTCATCACGACCAGTATTTCTACCCCGGCTTTCCACTCCATCCTCGCTCGATCGTCGCAGCTCCTGACTTGGTGTCACCGCTTCGTTCTGGCTCTTTTGAAATTTCCCTTTGCTTCACGTCCCAGTTACCTACTAACCCTGTCTGTCTGTTTCCTCCTGCCAGGTTCACTCACCTCTGCCTCCCAGTTCGGCCAGCCGGGCTTGCACGCCAGCCTCCTCCTCCTCTCGCCGCCTCCATGACGCCCTCCGGCTTCCCCCCTTGCACCCCGCCGGGTCCCCGGTCACTGCGTCCTCTCCTCCCCGTCTGCCAGCCTGCCTCGAACCTCCAGCCTAAGCACCTTCCGCTCCTCCAGCTACTCGGTCCCCCGCGTCCTCGTCTGCCTCTCCCCCTCTTTCCTCCCGTCCCTCCTCGTCCCCCTTTTTCCTCAAACCTCCTTTTCAAACCCTCAGCGTTGCGTTTGGGTCCGTTCTGTCTACCGTTGCACCAAACCCAAAAACATGATACATCCTCTGTATAACTTGTAACTTAGCATGACACAGAGACTGAGGTTTGGTCAATTTTGTGAAGTTTATTGAAAACTTTTAAAGTAAATAAAAAGTAAACATATCACCCTGTTTAACATCTAAACCAAACAAGCAAGAGTAACAACAAAACTCAAACCAGAACCTGAACCTGAGCTTTTATTTGGACCAAAAACATGTCGACAGCTTTGTCCATTTGTCCAGGGGTCTGTATCATGAATCAAGTTCACCACAGTCAGTCTTTCTCTGAGTGATAAAGCTTCACTAAACCTGACAGAGTTAATCCTGATAATGATCTGGGTCCTCTGCTGTTTGTGATATCTGAGGTTTATTTGCTGATGAATCAAACGTTTTAGCTTCATTAAAGAACACACTGAACACACTGGATCAGCTCAGAAGTGATGCTCTGTGGTGACATCATCATAGTCATCATCCAATCCCTCCTCAGCCTCGGTAGACGGGGTCATCACCATAGAGACTGGCAGGTCATGTCCTGCACTCAGAGCAGGTTAGAAATAAAATTTACTTAATTTATCTTCATCTAACTGTCAATCACTGATGTCATTGATGGTGGTGGTGATGGTGCAGTGGATAAGACAAATGTCTTTGGTGTGAGAGACCTGGGTTCAATTCCACCAATGTGCCTCTGAGCATGGAACTTAACTCCTAGTTGCTCCATAGGTGTGCGACATCTGACATGTATACAGTAGTAATTGTAAGTTGCTTTGGATAAAATTCTCTGATAAATGTATTGATTGATTTTATGAATTGACTTATTGTAAGATCAGTGAATGATTCAGTGTTACCTGTGGCCCTGTGTCGATATAAAGACACCATGAGGACAGTGGAGATGAAGTACGGACAGAAGACCACCAGGTGGCAGATCAGTCTGAACACAAGCTGGAAGGGGGCTGAGGCAGGTGGTGTTGGAGGAGGCGGGGTTGTCGGGGTGGGCAGAGCTGAGGTTGTAGGTTTACCTGTAGAGAGAATCCCACCTGGTCAGGTAAATCTCTGGATGAAATGAGTCCTGAAATCAAAGGTAACCTCCTCACCTGTGACAGAGATCCAGCTGGATGGAGACTCTCCACGACCGCTGATGTTACACTTGTAGAGGCCTTCATCAGACTTGTTAACATGGTGGATGGTCATGTAACCTGTAGGCTCAGTCCTGATGAGGGAGCCATCTTTATAGAAACCAGCTGGGAGGTTGGAGGGAGGGGTCTTTGTTTTACAGTGCAGAGTGACATCATGTCCCTCCATCACAGGGAGGACAGGACTCTGCAGGATCACTGGTCCAACTCAACACAGAGACAAACTACAGCATTTCATCATTTACACACAGCTTCATCAACACTAACTCCACAGTCTGATCTTACCAGTGACAGTGATGTTGATGGTGTTACTGGTTGCTCCCTCTCTGGACTCACACCAGTAAACTCCGCTGTCTACTGGGAAAATGTAACTGATGTTGCAGGAAGAACCAGCTGATCTTCCCCAGTCATCACATTGAGTCCTGGTTCTTCTGGTTGTGTTCCTCCTCAGCGTCCATCCAGCAGAGCTGTCGTCCTCCTCACAGCTCAGAGAGACAAACTGATCTTTAAACAGCTGAGAGCTGCTGGGACTCACAGTCAGAGAGGCTGGAGGAAGAGACAGAAAGATGTGGTTAGAGAGAACATTTGCATTAATTTTCTCCACATTCCTCATATTCCTACTTTCTCACTTCTTCCCTGCTGAACTGATCTCTGAGTTTCAGGCACTGAATTAAACTCAGATTTGAGCTGATAGATGAAAGTTTTCTGCATGTTTTCAGTGTTGGTTGAGATCTGGCAACATTTGTAAACATCTTTTTTATCTGTTAACCACTCAGTGTTGCAGGCTGCACACCTGTGGCTGTGACAGAAGAAGTTTTCTCACCTTGGTTTGTTGTGCAGCTCAGCAGTGAGGTCAGAACTAAAGAGAAATCACACTCAGGTTGGTTTGTGGTTTTAACATGAAACAAGACGTACTTCTACAAAACAGAGCAACCTGTTTGTAGAAAACCACCACACATTTATATTAGATAAGGAAAAAACTAATTTTATTTACATACACATGCAATTGTTTTTAGTCCAATTTCCACAAACAGACCATGTCAGAATGTGTTTCGAAGTGTCCTTGGGCATAGGAGCGATTTTTTATATTATTTTATGTCCTCCAATTTTAGATTTTGGAAAAGCAAGAGAAGGGACAACCAATTAGCCTACAGTTTGATATGGCTTTTCTTATATTAAACGGATTTATTGTCCCTGAATACTGACATTTTTCAGTTTCTAATGTTTTACTGAATGATCCGCAACCGCGCTGGCCAACAGGTCAGCTTTTGCGGAACGCTGCTTGTGTGTCTGTCTCTCGGGGCCAAACTAATACTTTCAATATTGAGGAGGGATACGAGCGGCCCCTCCCAACTTGGCTGAATTCTGATTATCTCAACGGCGCCGATGAGAGGCGTTTACTTTCCCTCTGGGGCGAGTTTAATCCAAAAACCTTTTACACCGGTTTGCTACATTTGTCGGGGCTGAACTCAGCCCAGGGTTGTGTGACAAGTGCAACAGAGACGGTAAATATGGGAAAAGAAAGAAAGAGGAAAAAGAAATGTGTGGTGCCGAAAATATAAGAATTAAGAAGAAAAAGATGTTGAGACAAGAGGCAGCTGAATGCGCCAACTTAACCGACTAATGAATAAATAGGTGCACAATTAGTAATGCATTTATTATGTACATTTATAAAATGCATTTATTACATACCATACACATATACATACATACACATAAACACATACATACATATATATATATATTTATATATATGAACAAGAACAAGACAAGGCAAGATTTTTAGCATTAAACTGGTAATTTCCTGCATTCGGGAGACATTTTCTGCTCCAATTTACGGTGGAAATGTCTGTTTTTATATGAAGGAAAACTATATTGCATTGCATGTTTTCTTATTGTGCAAATAAACCTTTCTCAAAGCGTTTTCATTTGTTAGTTAACATTTCTTGGTGCTTTTTTTTCAGAAGATTGTTAACAAATGCTCTCAAAAAGTGATGGGGACAAAATCAGCCGGGTGGGGAGATGTCTCCAGCATGTCCCCACCACTTTTGCAAGGCATTGTATGCATGCTACATTCTCATTAGGGGCTGAGCACCCCTAAAGGTCTGATCCTAGAATCGCCCCTTCTTGGGCAAGATACTGAGCCCCCGATGGCTCATCAGTGTATGAATCTGTGTGAGTGTTAGTTTCCGTTTGAGCACTTAGGCTCAGTGTATGAATGTGTGTGAATGGGTGAATGTAACGAAGTGTAAAGCGTTTTGAGTGGTCGGAAGACAACAAAGGTCTTATAACACGTCTAACTCCTAACCTCTAACATGCACTTCCTGTGCTCTTCTTCTTCTATCCCCCACAATGATCTTGTATTGATTGCACTTTTTGTTTTGATTGCACTTTTGGTTAACTCTTACTTCCTTCCCTAGGTATCTACCCCATTGATGTGATATGTACTGTGAGCTCTTACTAGTATTTATTACTGCTCTTACTAGTATGTATTGTCAGTTGTAGACCTGTAGTTGATGCTCTGTTGATGCTTGTATGTTGTTCCTCAAATGTAAGTCACTTTGGATAAAAGCGTCTGCCAAATGAGTAAATGTAAATGTAAATGCTATACAAATACAGACCATTTACCATGTAGGATGCACAATCTTTGAGGTAGACAAGTTCAAGCAGCGGCCGGGTTGACTGGAGGGAAAGCTGCTCGTAGGATGCTGGTGAGGAACATGAGGATTCCTTCCCCCCTCCTTTTCCAAATAAGAACCTCTCCTACGCATTATCTACTTCATTCCAGAGAGTAAAAGTGTGTTGGATTGTGGAGCTGAAGCCTGTTTCCCTTGTGTTGAGGGTGGATTGACAGATTTTAGGATAGTTAAAGACTGCATCAGAAGAGACCTCCATTTCCTGTTTTGCCTGTGTGTGTTGCACGTTACAATTAAAGACTTGATAGTTACTGGTCTAAGTATTTGCTTGTCTTGTGTGGGTTTTGAGTTGTTTTTAGTTTTGCACGTTTAGTTATTTTCTTTTTGTATTTTACATGTTTATTTGCTTTTATATTTGGTTGTTGTGTTTATTCTGATATTAAGACAAGCTTAGCCAAGTTAGCCAAAGGACTGATCCAAGCACTGTGAAGCGTACAATTTATGGTTACCAGCCAGGTCGTTCTCTAGAATGATGTGCACTCCTTCAATTGGTAGTGCCGGCCTTATGCCCATGGCAACCTCACCTTGGACCAAACCACAGTTAAGTGTCAGTCTAGGCAGCACGATTAAACCCATTCCCCGTGTCAGCACGTGCTCTCCCGAGAAAATGGCAACACAGAGCTCACAATATGTGAATGAAAAGCCCCGGTATCTCTCACTCTCATCTCTTACAGTATCACTCCCCATCACCTCCAAGCTACACTTCTCTCCAGCACCAACTCACAAGCCATAAACACTGCAGCCTTGACGGTCACATAAACTTTACTTTCAGCCACAATGAGAGCAGAGTAGGCCTTCTGTGCTTACCTGTCAACACACATTGCAAGAGTAATGTGCAGTCAGAGTCTGACCACTGTCTACTCTCTGCTACCTGCTCAATAAGTGAGAAAAAGGTGTCTGGGTCTCGTTCACAAAACAGCTCATCAATGTCTCCCAAACAACCAGATTGTACAACTCATTCACAAAATGAGGCACACAACTTAATACTAGACCACAACTAACCTCCGCCGTCAAGCAGACACCGAGTCATAAGGACTGGACGAGCCCCCATTTGTCACACTATGGCACTATGGCTGCGACAAATATGGGAGACAAAACGAGCTTGCACGAAAAAAGTAACGGTTTATTTTACAAAATAATATTTAACAAAGATAATAACGTGAATCAGTGTCAGTCATGTCAGTGTGCGGGTGTGTGAAATGTCAGTGAGAACACAAAAGCAATCAATAGCTGCACCCGCGATGAGAGAGCCAGAAAGACAAAAAAGGATGTGAGCTTTATAGCTCCCAAACACTCAGACCTGCTGATGACGACCTCCCAGCCCCCATCCTGCAAGATAATAACAAAAAGACAGGACACAGGATACCTAGTGCCTGGGAGGGGTTGTCACACTCCCTGACTGCTGTCCCCACTCTCTCATTTAGGGTTTCTTATTTCTCAACATCATGCAGCCAGAAGGAGGACTGAGAGCTTGGAGGAGCTCAGCAGGTGGCAGCAGCTTTGGCCCTGGAGCCACACTGAACATTTTCAACTGTCCATTTTATAAACTTAAAGTGCCATTAAATGTAATAACCCTATTTTAACTTGTTTGTTTTTGTGTATTTTAACTTTGTTAAATTAAAGATAGTCATGTGTCATATTATTAGAGGTTGTCAAAAGTCAACCTCTGTTCCGAACCTGGCATGTGTGTGCTTTTCTCTTCTGTAGCACTTTACCTTTTTGTATAAAACTTTTCTGCTTTTCTCTATAACTCACTGTTGATCTAAAAATCACCAGAAATGTTTGAGACCTAATCTTTGAGACAATGTGGAAACAAACATTCACACATTAAGTAGATTCTTACTTACCAAGCAGCCGCGGTAAAGATGATTTCTCCATTTTAACTCTTGGTCATCTGAGATCAACACATTAATGTTCAGTCACACCAAGTAAAACCCTCCTCCTTCCTCTTTGTGTGTCACTCGTACTCTCGTGGTTTTCTCTCACAAAGTTAACAGGAAATATACTTCATGTTAAGTCTCAGTGGAAAACTGACCAGGTTGTGCAGAGCCACAGTGGTGACACTTACTGAGAGACAAATCACATCTTTTGCCAATTTAGTTTTTTATAGACAGCATGTATTAACTTTGTATTTGTATATAATTTACCAAACAAATATACATCTATAAAAATACCCCCCCCCCCCCCCCCACTGCTGAAGTCTGAGATTCTGAGTTCAACATCATCTACAAGTCAAACTAGAACAT